GGTTGATTCTGTATGGCAGGAGCTGATGTGGTCTGAGGTTGAACATATTTCGACTTGCCTTTTCCATCTCCTGGCTTTCCTCCTTTTCCATCATCATCCTTGCCTTTCTTGCCTTTCTTTCCTTTTCCTTTTCCTTTTCCTTTCTTCTGGAAGTATCCATACTCATCCATGTAGTACAGATCATCATAGGCCCAATAGCCTTCATTCCAGGTCTGATCATCGGCCCAATAGCCGTCATAGTTTTCATTCCATTCATCTTCTTGCCATTCATCTTCATAACCTTCTTCACTCACCATGTGAGCACGGCCTTTTCTTCTTCCTTTTCCTCGGCCTTTTCCTTTTCTTGATTTGAAGAACCTTCGTCCTCCTCTGCCTTTTCCTTTTCCTTTTCTCTTTCCTTTACCTTTGCCTCGTCTGATGTATTTGCCTTGGAACCTTCTCTGATACCATGTGAAGGTGGCGTCATCATAAACCCAGAAAACATCTTCTAAAGCATCCAGGAATCCTTCTGCGCCGTCTTCTTCATCTTCGGCCCAATAGCCGTCGGGTCCTTCTAATTCACCTTCATCCAGTACGAGGAAAGATCTTCTCTGTGCCATGCCAGAGGGTTGCATCAATGGATTGTCAACTGCTGTTTTGGTAGTGCAAAACATTTCCAAAAACAGGTCACGTAGTTCTTGAATACTGTATCGATCAAGGGTTCGTCCACGATGTGTCATGATACTTGTGAGTGTGTTTCTCTGATCTTGACTCAGGTCAGCTAGACTTACAAAAATCAATGCTAGCAAATTTTCACCCAGTGGGAATGCTTGTCGCTGTGCTTCTCTACGATTTTCCTGAAATTGTCTGAATGCCGCTAGTGCCAGTTCATCTGTCCAAGGAACAGCTACATGGGGTGTTCCTGAGGCTGCTGCTACTTCAGCTCTCTCTTGTTGATCTCGTTCATGTTCTTGACGTCGTTGTTGAACAAACAGAATTGCTTCAGGACTAGTCACTGTTACTTCTGGAAGTAAATCCATCCAAGACTCAATAAGTCTATTGCCAGTGAGTTGAAATCTAGTCATCCACTTCTGAAGATCCATGGTTCCTCTGTTGAACTTCATGAACTGCATGAAACGGTATAAGAACACGTTCTGGGCACCTTTGATGAAATGAGGTCGTAGAAATCTTTTGAAATAAGCCACTCCTTCATAGGGATCCCTGAGTAATTCTCTATCCAATAGCCTCTTGTATTGTTGAGCATCTCCTTCCAGTCTGTTGCGCAATGCTGGACCACGTTTCTCTGGTTCTAACTCCGTAATGTCACACCAGTCATCAATTGCATCCTCAAAAGCAAAGAAGCTGGTTCGCCCATCATAGGCTGGAGCAACCTTTGTGGTCATCTGTTGCGTCATATGAATCTGTGTATGCTGGGGTGCTCTTCTCATTGCATAAGAGTCATATTGGTTCCATTCATTTGCATCGACAATGTCGAAGTCATCATCATCATAGCCATGGCTTGCCATTTCTTGGGCTCTACCTGGAGCTCACCCTCAATGAGGGATCACTGCTCCGCTACCACTTGAAGAGGGGCCCTAGCGTCTACTTCAAGATCAGCTAAGGCGTCTTCCCCAATGACAGCACTTGTTTTACTCAGCCTGTTGCCGGTCCGTGCTTGTCTACAGGGTTACTCTATATACCTCTTGAGCCTTGAGGGGCGCATATAAATGCGCTCAATACTCATGCATGTACCTATGTAGGTATTAGGTCGAAACAAAAACAAGGGCGCAGCGCCTCCCCCCAAAGCAGAATGCAAGCACCTCTTCTCACATGTTACGTTGCTAGTTTTCAAGAGAAGGTTGGTCATGTGATACTCAGGGATGTAAATACTGTGCAAAATGCATCTTACATGAAAATCAAGTATTTAAAGCAGGCAAAGCAAAAAAAAAAAGCAGAGAAGCAAAAAAGCAGAGAAGCAAAGAAACAGGAAACGCACAAAAGCAAAACAGCAGAAAGGCAAAGAAGCAGGAAAAGCAGAAAAGCAGAGAAGCAGGAAAAGCAGAGAAGCAAAGAAACAGGAAAAACAGAAAAGCAAAAAAGAAGAAAAGCAGAGAAGCAGGAGAAGCAGAAAAGCAAAAAAGCAGAAAAGCAGAGAAGCAGGAAAAGCAGGAAAAGCAGGAAAAGCAGGAAAAGCAGGAAAGCAGAGAAGCAGGAAAAGCAGGAAAAGCAGAGAAGCAGGAATCCAAAAATAATTCCTAAACCTGATCAAAAAAAAAATCCTAAAATAATTAGCACTCCCTTTTAATTGATCATCTACTGATAATAATGGTATATAGATGTGTATAGATTGATAATCTACTTATCATCTACTGATATCCACTGTGAAATTGCACCCCCCCTCATCAAACCTCCAAAGTTGACATTACAAACACTTGGGTCTTCCTCTAAACTGCAAAAAATGCGATGAACATCTGCCCTTGAAAATCTGCCCTTGAAAATCTGCCCACGAACAGTCCCACCGCCACCGTTCCTCGGCTTTCCTCCACCGTCGCGCCTGCAAAAGTCGTATCGCCACAGGGTACATGATCACGCCTGGCCCCATCAGATATGGCAGTTTCAGTAGGGAAAAGGATGCTATACCATGGGAATATCCTGGGATTTTAGAATTGTCAATTCCCATCAATTCCAATGGGATTTTAGGATTTTCATTGGTGAAATAGGGGTGCCACTAATGGACCCCAGATGTTTGCCCCAGCACGCCCGCGCCTATGAACCAATGGCTGATTTCCAACTTTGCCAATGGATCTGTCGACACCTCAGGATTTAGCTTACCCCCAAAGTCACACTACACTGAATGAAAACGCCAGTCATGGGCGTGAGTTGCCAAGATTCAACATCCATGAGGCAGAGATTGAATGATCTGTACATTCTTTCAGTTGCATATCTTGGAGCATGTTCCACACAAGAATTTCTCAAAGGCACATCATCTAAATTCAAAACGGAACACTGGAACTCTCACCGTACCGTACCCAGAGCCCGCGTTCTTCCGGATCACAAACATCAGAAAAAAAAACAGATTTGGGTGATTTTCTGTGAGTTAGCACATCCCGCCATCTTCGGAACTGCAGCCAGGTATAGCCAGGTCACAAAGGGCTTGGAACTGCCCGTGGAGGGCCAATCGATGGGTGGTCGCGAGTACGGCATGGCTTCGCTGGCCGCACCAGGCGCCAGCAAGGCCGTGAAACAGACTGAGCCGAAGAGTCTGCGAGCCCGTTGCATTTTCGGACTATCTAAGTGGGGGGTTCCTAAATAAAGGGGCACCTATTTTTGCGCCTCAAATCATCCAACACTGTGACTATTTGAATCTATTTGAGTATTCTTAACCTATGTTTGTTCCTCTTCATCTATGATCATCTACAGTAATTATATTATTGTAAGTCTAGTTGGCTGGTTCTCTCATTTTTGACCGACTGATTTGAAATTTGGAGATTCTGAAACTCCAAACGGTCCACCACTGACCTGCCCACCATTTTCCCACTGCATGGCGGGTACATCTCCGACAGCCGCACGAACACATTGCAGCTGTGACACCAAGGGAATTTCAGGATCCTAAATTGGGGGTACCTACAATACATAAGGCCTATCTAAGGCCTATGTAAGGGAATATCCCCACAAAATATGGCCTTATATGGTACAGTACCTCCATTTTAGGATCCTGAAATTCCCATTGATGTGACTGGTGAAACATTGAACTGAAGCTGGTGGAAACCTCAACATCCACAGGCTTGGGATGTTTCACCTGTCGTCAAAGAGTCAGCCTTAGAATCCGAGGCGAACCTTTTAGGAGATGGGAGATGATGGGAGCTGGTTCGAAGTGCCGGTGTTCAGATCTTCGTCAGGAACAGCTCGTGGCGATGCTCCTTTCACAAGTTCCCCCATGGGAGGTCAGCCATGTGATGTGTTTGGCAGGGCAGATGGGGAAGACATCTTCCCTGCTGAGATTTTAGAAACATCAGAATATATCAGAATCATATCCACCCTTAAAATGTTCAACCAGGATCAACCAACACCCCAACTCACCTGCCATCCCTTCAGCCCAATCAAGACAGTCCTACCACCGATCCGCCTTGGTCAGGTCACGGAGTCGCCAGTGGAGTGGCCATTGGCAACAGCACCCTGCAGCGATTCCATGTTTTTTCCCATGCCATCTGCATCCAGCTCCCGATGACGGCGCTACCGGGCATTGGTTGGTCGGGTTTCGGATGCGAGGTGAACTGATCCATGGTGATATCATTATAAGTTATATGGATAATGATAGCGAAAGATAAATCTGAGAATATCTGAAGAAAGGAAACCCCACAAGCATTCCGTTCAACTTTTGTAACGTGCTTCCCTAGTTGGGCGTGCCAAATTGCCACACCAAGCAGTGCCCCTAAGCAGCGCACAGCAGGATGCCTGTGGTGCGACGGAGACACCTTCCATGGATTAAGCAAGTGACAGTGACAGGTTTAAACCCAACCGAAGCATCCACCAAGTGGCCTGTAACTATTCTAATCAACAATTTCGAGCGACATATCCGCTACATACCATTACCAATATGAGTTGACACATGTGCCATGATTTTTTGTATGCAAATATGGCCCGTGGCCCATAGTTCACGGCACACACGGGATGTCTCCGCACCACTCCGTCGTCCAATTGTACAGCGCACCGGTTTGACCGGTCGCGAGAAAAATCCGGGTGAGACGCGGGAAGGCCCGTGCCGCACTATGCAGAACCGCCGCAGTTTTTATCACCAAATGGGGCGTTGAAAAAAACACATCATCTCTTTAAAACAGTTTAAACACATCCCATCCCATCATCGAGACTAAATCTAATCCATAAAGTCAACCCTGATCAATAGTCCCCAGTTGATTAATGTGGATTAATGCTGATTAATGTTGATTAATCACCCTAACTAAGCGATCAACCATACCACTGGTCTGCGGCGCTTCCGCCCTGCGGCTTCCCCAGGGAAGCCGCTACTGCAGCTCCCCGTTGAGCCAAAAGCCATGCCGCTCCGTGCCGTCCGCCTCCGTGAGGATGCCAAAGCCCTCCTGGCACGGCACTAGGATGAGATCTTCCGTCGATGAAGACATCCCCAAATCGCATAGCTATAGGCTATAGATAGCTATAGATAGCTATAGATAGCTATAGATAGCTATAGATAGCTATAGATAGCTATAGATTGTTATGACCGTGAAAGCGTTAACACTATAGCCTTTTCGGTGGCACGGTTGCTGTGCAAAGTGCCTGGCGGGTGCCTGTGTCAAATTCTGGTCCTACGTTCTTGCCACAAAATGTTGCGGCAAAATGTGTGTGTGTGTCTTAAATCAGCACCTCTGTTTTTCTGATAAATGATTGGGAAAATGCCTCCCCACACTCTGACGCGGACACTGATGCGGACCCACGCGGGCCCCCACGGCCTGCAACCCACGCGGGCACTGACGCGGACCCACGCAGACCCACGCGCCGCCCTGGTCCACGCACTGATACGGACACTGACGCGGACCCACGACCAACGCGGACGGCGCCTGGCACGGACGCGGACGCTGAGCCGACACTGACACGGATCTACGCAAACGCACGCGGGGTTCCTTAGGACCCGCACCCACGCGGGCACTGACGCGGACCCACGCGGACCCACGCGGAGCCCCCGTCCCCGCAGTGACGCGGACACTGACGCGGACCATCGCGGACCCACGCGGACCCACGCGGGCCCCCAGCGCCCGCAAGGCGGACCCACGCGGACCCACGCGAGGCCCCTGTCCCCGCACTGACACGGACACTGTCTGAAGCGGACCCGCGGACCCACGCAAACCCACACTGGCCCGGACCCAGAGCCAGCACCGACGCGGGCACTGACGCGGACACCGACGCGGACCCACGCGGACCCACGCGGTCCGACGCGGGGACCCTGCCCCGCACTGACGCGGACACCGACACGGACACCGACGCGGACCCACGCGGGGCCGGGCACCCTTGCAGCAAAATCACTTGACGCGTCGCCCCGTAAGCGTTCTGAGGGCGGCGTTGAGGTGGCCCCGCGTGGGTCCGCGTCGGTCCGCGTCAGTGCGGGGAGAAGTCCCCGCGTGGGTCCGCGTGGGTCCGCGTGGGTGTCCGCGTCAGTGCGGGGAGGGGTCCCCGCGTGGGTTCGCGTGGGTCCGCGTCAGTGTCCGCGTCGGTGCAGGAAGCGGTCCCCGCGTGGGTCCGCGTGGGTGTGTGTTAGTGCGCGGTGGTTGTGGGATTTGGGTTTGCGTAAGTCCGCGTGGGTCCACGTCGGTAGTCGTGTCAATGCCAGTCAGTGCAAGCCAATGCGGGATGGGGGTCGGCATGGGTCCGTGTCAGGGCCGGTGTGGGTGGTAAGGCTTTGTTCTTTTTCCAGGTGGGTTGCGGGACACTTGCCTCTGGACAAGTCATGGGCCCGGTGAAAGGATGTGTGCACAGCATTATGCGTTTTTGAATGTCCGTCGCGGTGTTTTGGCAGCTCGCTTTGGGTAAGCTGATCGAAAACTCACCGCACTGGTCATGCACCGCACAGAAAGGTACGTCGGGCTCATAACCTGCAAGCGGAGCAAGCGGGGATGCTTTTTCCTTGGAGCAAAAGAGCCTGCAGCATGTCACACTGCAATGCAAGTCGGCTTGGTTGCGAACCAAGCCCTTTCGTCATCCAAAACCTACATATATGTATGCAAAACATGTATTCACGCCACCCCCCAACCGCCAGTATTTGCACAACACGAACTACATATAATATTACGCCGCCCTCTACGCACTGACGCGGACACTGACGCGGACCCACGCGGAGAGGTTTTTGGCCCAAGATATGACTCAAATATGTTAACGCTTGTAGGGGTATATCAAGCTATAGATAGCTATAGATAGCTATAGATAGCTATAGGTGAATTGCTGGAGAAAAAGAGTTGTTGAAAATTTTACACATGAAAAGAGATGGAAAGCGGCTGGGACTTTATAATATCCCTTGGAGTGGAGGGCGGTCTTCCCCATAGGGGATCCATGGGAATAGGGCAACACATTCTGCGCTCCTTCTTGTCGAAGTTGTATTTTCCGCAGTACCTCAGACAAATCACCGATAGAGTCCTCCCACTCAGCGTTGAACATCCGCTCCACAAAAGCAGGAATGGGTGCTGTGCAACAACAGTTTGATTGCATTGACGGGGCTGTGTTAATCTGTTGACGGGACCTTCTTTGATTTCAAGTCATGATCTGCTTGCAGATTCACTTGCGCCAAGTGACGTTTTGCCATCTGGCCATTCGTATCTGCCAATACCTTCATCTGCCACGTCACAGGGGACAACATTCAACGGGTCTTATGACCGGAGCTGAGATACACACCTACGCACCAAATGCGACTGCTAACTTCTCCCATAAGTGCAACCCTGTGATGATCAAAATCCCACTGTGATCTCCACAGTTTACATCCTCCTTCCACCGACATCAAGTGCAGCTCAGTTGACCATGAGGTGCAGACTTCTCCCATTGCCCCTTGAAGTTCGTACCTGCCATCAGTAGGGATGCACACACGCGAGGCCGGAAATTGATGCCACTCTGGCATTTACAGGTCCAGTTGATGGCGAAGGGTGCTGGCAAAATGTTTCCAAACAACCTCCTACGCATCACCTGTACTACAATCTTCGTCTCAAATTCACGCTGGAAAAATACACCATTCACTTACCACAAGAACTGCTCCACCCAATTCCCCCTTATTTTCGCATCATCTCCATCCCCATCCCCACCCACCATCCACCATCCCGCCACCGCCCGGACCTCCATTGAGAGCGTACTCCCCGGGGCCCGACGGACAGTTGGCGCGCCAGGTGCCGTGGTACACGGTGCCGTCGGGCCACGTGTTGGATCCGAAGCCGCTCTTCTGGCCCTGCCGGAAGCCGCCCGCGAAGCCTTGCCACACCGTGGGGCACGGCGGGGACACGGCGCTGCACGTGGCATGGTAAGGTGGTGGGAAGTGGTGGAAATATGTGGAAATGGAGGGATCTCATAGAAATGCCTGGTATGAAATATTTTTTGGATGTTTGGATACTTATGCTTGCTAAAGGTGAGAAATGAAATGTCTTGGACATCAACAGGAGAGACTCAAAACTGGTTCGGCAAGATGTGGGAATGGCCGTTGAGCTAATTAAGTCATCTTTGGGATCTTGATCCCTCTCATTTTCCCATTTACACCACAATGACTCGAGCATGAACAAAAACCATCCACACAATTCATGGTTCATGCGTGCTTCATCCAACAAACTATATAATATCATCCATCCTTCCTTTCCTTATTTTCCCCCATCTCAACAAAAACTCACATCAAGCCACCAGCCTCTTCCCCCCAACCCCAAGTGACCCCCCTTGCCCCCTTCACCAAGTCACATGAGCCATCCACCCAGCTCTCCACTCCCAGCCCCTCGCGCTGGTCGCAGCGGAACTGGCCCTCGTAGCACGCCGCGCCGTCCTGGAAGCGGTACACGCCGCAGCCGTGCGCCCGGCCGTGCAGCCACTCCCCGCAGTAGCTGTCGCCGTCGCTGTGTTTGATGCGACCCAGGCCGTGGGCACGGCCAATGCCTTGGTGCTACGGTAGCCTCTATGGGAAGCTGGGCAGAGCTGGGAGGTCCCAGAATTTGGGTTTTGGTTCACCTGGATCTTGCCATCTTTTCCCATGTTTTGCCGTGATTTACCTGTTGATAACTGTTGAAAATTACTATTTTCGCTTGGCAGGGTTAAAGTGCCAGAGGGAATGGCTTGGTAGATGGCTGGCTTGGGATGAAAAGGTGCCCAACTGCGATGTCAAGGTTCTACAAGTAGTGACTGATTTTTTGGAAAATTGAATGGTTTAGTATAATGATTTAGTAATGATGTTGTAATTCTAAAGGGAATTTCTACAATGATTTCGTAAGACTTCTGCAAGTGGAACGACATGGATACGACCCGAGATGGTCCATACCTCCGCTTTTGCAACACAGCTGAGCAACGCCATTGGCCCACGTACTCCGTCCCGTCCGGCCACACCTGCAGAAAGGGCAAGGTATGGAGGTCCCCCGAGGTCGCTTTTGGTCTCGTTCAAGCCATCCCCAAAAAAGAGTTGGTTCATTGGAATCATCATACAAGCTGTTCAAAGCCGACTCATAGCCATAGAAACCACTGAAAGATACTGAAAGAACATGAAACCAACAACAACCTACAACAACTTTCATCCTCAACTTTGGTTTTAGAAGCCCCCAACGCATCCCGATAGAATTCCCCATTTCAACCACCGTCTCTTCTCGTGCCCCACCTGTTTCCCAATGCCATGTCGGGCACCCTGGAGCCATTGGCCATCGTAGACGGCGCCCGATTCGAACTCGTACCTGCCATGGTTGGCACTAATGCTAGGGCTGCTAGGGTAGAGAAGGGCAAATGAACATCATGTGGGTTAAACAATGCCAGAAACCATCCCCCTAACCACCATAAATATCATAAATAGGTTGTATAAACCATTCCCAAATGGCTGGTTTATTATTGCTTTACCCACATTATTCTAGATATAGCCCTTGGTATATCACGTGCTGGTAAATACCTTAGCAGCCTTAGCAGTACTTCCCTATCCTCTGCACACTCTTCAAGTCACAGAGCTGGCTCCGACATCTACAAAAACAGCTTCAACTCCTACCTGAAGTGTTGGGGTTCCGTCTCGTCCTGGCTACGGCCGACATGACTGAAAATGTTCTGCAGGAGAATCCCATTTGCTGCCGTTATTATTGCCATTGAGCTTGCATCAATAGTTCTTCATCATCATCATCATCATCAAACCTCAACCTCAATCTCAACCTCAACATCATCAAAAGGGACAATGATACAAAATCACCCAAAGTTGTTACAAGGACATGCAAAATCCGTCATGCACCCGGCACGCTGTCCTCTAGGGCTGGAGACTCTCCCGCCTCGCACTCGAAGTACCTTCGAAAGGTCGAATTGTCTGACCCTGGTCGTCCTTGAAGTCGGTGAATCAAGTGTCTTTCATCATCCTTATATATATATATTTATTTATTTAGTTAGTTAATTATTTATTTATTTATCCTTGGAAATGGTGAGGAACTGCAAGAAACTGAAACGCGATCCAAACAAGGAACCATAGTATACCATAGTCAATTTGGCACATCTTCATTGAATTTCATTGGATCCTGGAGTTTGACATCACCACATTGGACGTTCCCCATCTGCATCTGCCCCCAGCCCCTGCGCACGTGTCAGGCAGCATGCTCCAGTCCACCGCCTCGCCGGCAGATCCTCCGCTGAGCCGTTGCTTCAGCGCCTGAATGCCAAGCTTCCCCCTTCTACAAATCTGTCCTCCTCACCCTTTCAATAGTTTTCCACACCTTGACATGTTAAATCGAACAGGATATCACTTATACCATCTTAATATATCTTACCATACCTAACCTATTTCCATTCCGATCCTAAAGGTGAACGACTCACCCCATCGCCTCGGGGTCGACGCCGGCACCCCGTTGCTCCGGCCGCGAGCTCCGCGAGGGCCGCGACGCCGCCTCCTCGACCCGCAGGGTGGTCAATGGCACCTGCGGGATGCCAGGATGCCATGGCAGCTGGGGATGGAACCTCCTCGGTGAGATGTTTTGGACATGTTTTGGTGAAGACAAAAGGTATCAACAAGTCAACCTCTATAGGTGGGAAGAGTTGGAGTTTGAATTCAGAGATGAAATAATGATGGGTTGAAGATTGTTACTGGTGTGGTGGTCGGAGCATTGGAAACTGCCTCAATTCTAGAGTCTATAATTTTATGATGTTATATAAACTATGATGGATGTATGACATATGTTTTCAATGTATTCCAATATGTTCAGGCGCCTCAGAGGGTTTTGTTTTCTCTTCTGGCTCTTCCATTAAGGACTCCGCAGCCAGGGGTGGTGCCTGTCACGGTGTCATACGGTGTCACAAATGGCAAAACCAAACCCACTGGAGGTAAGATTAGTGGAAAATTCAGTTTTAGCCAGGAAGCCACTTGTATCAAAAAAATATCATGAATCATGAAGATTTTGTGACGCGAAAACATCCTCATGTTTTTTTAGCAATCACGCTTTATTTTGCTGACAATCCTTGGGGAATGTTTCAATAGAAGCTGAATTCGACTGGGCAGTTTGTACCTTCGTCGGACACTGCCCCTCGAAGCACGGCGCCTGGCAAAAAGCACCAAGGGGATCAGTGACCACTGGTGGAATATGACTGGCCAATACCCAGGGGAGCTCATGTGGGAAAAATATCTATCCATGTAGCTACAAGCGCCATTTCAATGGTATGACGGTGTGACGGTATGACGTTCTTGGTCGCAAACAAGGTGAATCATCGTCACGGACACCTTGAGATGACCCAAAATCTGATCCGGGCTGCCTGTTTCACAGAGCATTCTTGATTGCCCATGTGTTCGCACACGGCGGGAAAGGCACTGTACTACTGAAGGATTCTCCGCAGAAAAGCGGCTGAGAATGCTAGGGCGATCTGGGGCGGCTGCTTTATGAAGCTGAGGGAAGACGCTATACAAACTAGGGCCAAGAAAAGATGAACCTGCTGCTGTGTAACGCATCCTGCCCAATGCCAAAACACGTCTAAGTTGTCAAAACTGTTTTGCCAGCTGAATCAACTATGGGTTTCAGTGGAATCTCCAGATTTAAAAACCGATGTTGGGTCCCAAATGGTCCCAACAAGTTGCATACTTTGCTGTGCCTTAGGCAATATCTCCCAAACCCATTGCAGGATGTGTTTGGTGAGTTGGTGGTGGTGGTTTTGCTCATCCCCATGGACTCTGGGGGTCATGGCGGGGATCTGATGATCTGATGACTTGGACCGCCTCTACCAACTCTTCTTGAGCCAAAAACGACGTGTCACTGTGCGGATCGATGCGGACCCCAGGCAGATGCTGGTGACTGGTTTCGACCAGAGAAAGGGCTGGGATGGAGGATATCTCCCATCTCTAAACATTCCAAAGGTTGAAGGTGATTAAAGTATCTGAAAGATTTCCGTCACCAACGTCACCACGTTGGATCTGGGTGATGGTTTCACCCCCCTGGAAGAAATATCTGGTCATTGTAGGCCATCATCCCATTTGAACCCACCCGAAGCACCTGGATCAATCTGAGTGCCAAACCATCACCGTGGGACGTTGCCGTTGACCGCGGATCACCGAAGAAGTTTGTCACACCGTGGTCGTCGTTCTCAAGGTGCACCTTGGCAATGGGTGGCTGCGGGTGGATCGCCTCTGAAACACCAGCCTCACTCAGGCCACAGAAACAAGAAGCTTGACAGAACCTTTACTTTAAAAAAGACATCAACACAAAGCCAAATACCTGAAAGATCTTGAAAGAACATATCTCTCTATATCTATTTCTTTGTTTAAAAAAAAAAAGTGTTGTTCCCATCCACCAGGGACCCTCCGCGAGGCTATCCGGGACTCGAACTGCTACGACTGGGAGTTGGTGTGGGAGACCATGAGGTCACCTGGCGCGGTGAGGAGGGATTAAGTGCTCGCGATGATAACCCTATCACTTTGGATCATTTGTGGGAAACTTTGGGATAATACTTGGGATGCTAAAAAAATGATTGATGTACCTGATTTAACTATATAACTTATCTAAATATAAATAATAGTTGGGATATTTTGAAATAGTTGAGATGATAACCCAATCATTTTGGCAGAGACACACCGATTTCACATGTCTTTCCCACACTCCAGAAGCATCACTGCCGAAAATCGCAACTGCCGAAAAGCTCCCCATCAGCCTGCGACTGTGATGCAAGCTTGGATCGCTCGGATGCCATGAACTCTGAGGGTGGCCTCAACAAACAGACGCGGTCTGAAAATGTTGAAGTAAGCAGCACCCCACATGCAAAGCGGCATATATGTTTTGGATGGTCTAGTTCCAATCATTGATTGTTTGATGCCTTTTTCACCAAGAAACCCTTTGAAACAGAGGCACACATCCAAAAAAGATCAAAAAAGTGCCACCCATCCACGGGGATTTCATTGGTGTTTTAGTGGTGATTTAGTGGGAAATTACCATCTGGTTAACATCAACATCATCCAAACACCATTTTTTCCCGATGAAACGTCCAGCCTCTCTTGGTGCTGCCGCCACAGGCCATGCCACAGATCCGAGGCGTCCGAAGCACTCTGAGTCAGCTCAGTGGCCTCCTCGTCGAGACGCCAAGGATCAATGGCCATCGTCCAGTGGTTACGCTGTGAGAGGGGGAGAGGCTGTTGCTAAGGGCCATGGATACGGATAAACCATGGATAAACCATGGATAAACCATGATAAAGCATGATAAATCATGATGAATGGTTGGGGTTGGATCTGAAAAGAACTGCAGAGCTTCGATTCACAAGTGTTTTTCGAGCGTGGCATCTGTAGACATGAAAGCCACATGGGCAAAAGCTCTCCTCTGGCTCTTCTTCCATCTCGGCTGGTGACTCCTGCTAGGCCCCAATCAAACAGCTGAAGTCCAAATGAATTTGATCATGGAAGTCTGGAACCCGGAAACGAATAGGGAAGTGCAAAAAAAAACAAGGACCGCTCAATTTCAACTCAAAGACAGCAGGAAGCCTCCCAAGATCTCTCCCTCGGTGCGTGAGTCCTCGTAAGCGGCGCTGCCACCACCTCCACCGCTACCGCTACCGCTAGCACCGCCCAGGGGTATCTGGGGCGACGTCTCTGCAGCAGCACTGGGCCTGAACAGCTGGAAGCATGGAACTGATCACAACGATTCCAGTCACCTTTTTCTTGCTTGGGAGGGTTACCAACCCATCTATGTTACTGTAAATTGTGTGGGTTGATTACGGTTACCAACCGTCCATGTTAATTTTTGAGAGACTGACCATGCGAAACCAAACTCATCCCACGAATTCCCACCCAGAGTCTTTTCTCATCATGAGTAAATCGAATCTATCCCACCTCCCGTTGCCGTACCCCCCAAAGCTTGAATCTGGCTGCCTCAGCGCAAACAGATCGAAACTGTCATGTGGCTAATACTGGGACCACAAGCGATTTACTGGGACCTTCATATTTCAAACCTTCTCCAGGTATCAGTGAATATTTTAAAAAAATCACAAGTGGAGTCATTCTTCACATGGTCCGAAAACTTGACAAAAACAGACACCACTTGCTTGAGGATGTGGCCAAGGGGGCTGCAGCTGCTGCAACTCACGCAGATGACGCTCTTGCCTCAGATTGCTGCTAGGTGAGGGCCGATTAATGCCACTGATTCCCTCGTCCAAAAGTTTGGCTGTTTGAACCGAAAAATCGAATGAGATAACCACTCTGATTTCCCTTCGTTAAAAGCATATGCATCTGAACCTGCAGCATTTGAGGCCACTGCTCCGTTTGCACCTGCCGCAGCTGCTGCAGCTGAGCAGACTGGTGGAGTAAGAGGATGTGGCTCAGCAAATCCTGCAGAGAGGACAAAACTAGACTGGTCACATGTTTCCTAATGGAACCTACTTAAAGCCCAACATGCAACGGGCATTGGCGGCAGTGGAAAACCTGCTGCAACGCTACTTGAATTCCAAAAGTTTTTGCCTGCTGCTGGTGCTGCTGCTCCAACCTGAGCAATGGCAGGGCTAAACATGCCATTTCTGCCCCTTCTGACGGAAACATTCCTCTTGGGGTGGCCACAGTCCACAGTTTTTCAGCTGTCTATCTGGGCATCATTGACTCCACTTCAAATGCACATCTTCTCCGATCTTCCTACTGATTTCTGCCAAGCAACGGCAGTTGCATAGCCGCAGGGGTAAGCATGCTGGTGCTCATTGGCATGCCCTGTCTCAGCAATGGTGCCTTTGGCACTACCCTGGCATGAACACAATCAGCAGGGAACACCTCAACAACAAGAAAATCACAAATGATCCACTCCCCAAGCCTCTGCCGTTGCTCCTGCTGCTCCAGGACTTTGAGGTTCTGACCTTGGCTGCGATGACTTTGGGTATGTTGAGACCCCTCCGAACTCATCCCCGCGCCCATCCCACCATGTAATGCAGCCCAGCCACGCATCTCGTTGAGCCTCTCCTGCTGCTGTTGCTCTTGCCGACGTGCTTGCAGCTGCTGCTCCTCGAGATGTCATCAACAATCAGATGATGTGCATCATGGAGACATATCAACATGTCTAGAATCATCTTCGATAGCATCACCTCAGCTGCAGCGGTCAAACTTCTGCCACATCCCTCAGCTCATCACAAAATGCAACAAACCCAACAACAAACCTCTGCCTTTTGACTTGGTTTCAACCTTCCACATCCCAGCCAGCTAGTCCCAGCCCCAGGCTCCTGCTGTTGGAGCTGCATCTCCTGCAGTTGGAACTGCTGCTCCTGTAGCTGCACCTGTCGTCTGAGCTGTTGCTCCTGATCAGGTAGATCTGCAACTGACCATAAGTCAAGAGAACTTGGCGATTCTTGGTGAAATCTGTTCTGATTGGTTGCGGAAAGCACAGCAATTGATGGAGAATGATATGGCACCATCATGCAAACGCCAGTTACCAACAGTGCCACTTGAAATCCCAACAGCCCAAACTCCTGCAATTTCAAAAGCTGCTGAAGCTCCACCAGCCCCGAAGAGGTGTCGGTTTGCGGAGGGCCTTGCCATGGGATCTGCCGCTCACGAGGTGTTCTCCCACAACCGTTCATCTGCAAGTCAACGTGTTCATTTGCTTCCTATTGCCACTAGCCCACCTCCACTACATCAACACCAATGGCGATCCCAACATATCCCAAACATATGAAAAGTTTTTGGTTTTTGTGTCCCTCCAAAAGTATGGTTTCAAGATCAACCCCCAGCTGAGCTCCACACCTCTCAGCATATTTTCACCGGTGCCAGCGCTGCCAGCGATGCCACCATTGCCGCCACCGCTGCGGCCGCCGGTGCGGCTTGGGGAGGCCCGCGGCCGAGGCACCACCGCTGGGCTCGAAGGGGATGCGTCGGGAGACGGACCTGGCGATGATAAAATGACTGATCTCCAGTGGCTGTGAATGACCGACCTGACACCAATATTTGTGAATTATACTGACACCAATATTACACTTATAGTGGGCTTTGAGTTGCGATGTCGGTACGGTAGTGCTGCTTAGCAGTTTCAATGCTGCGATTGTTCTTCATCTCTTCTGATAGCCAACTTGTGCAACATCATCAACATATGATAGCAAATCCACGTTTTGTACACCAGCTCCCAATCATCCAAACACAACATATCACAGCCAGCTACCCTCCTATCCCCTGCACCTTCATACACCCAGGCTGGGATGGGACCACTGCGAGGCTCATCACGCTTGGGTCTTCTTGCTGCTGGCCTTGGTCTCTGAAGTATCCCAGCAATAATGCGGCACCCCAAAAAGACCCAAGAGGATCCAAAAGGAACTTTCAAATGTGGCTTGAATATCTGTGGAGGCAATTCTACTGATGGAATTGCCCATTGCTAGTGCGCGTTGGGGTCGCAATCGTTGACACTTGCTCCGTGGCCGTTTCGAAACACGTGATCAAATTTAGATGAATTTAGCATGACACTCCATGAAGAATAACTCGCACATATCACTCACTACGCCAACCCTCAACCGGACATCGTGTGACCTGAATCGATGCCTTCACCCCGAGCTCGATGTTGACACAGGGCTTGTGGCTGCTGGCTTCACGTGCAATGTGTTGACAAAGCATTACTTCAGGGCCCAACTCGGGCACGCGGACGAGAGTGCCTGGATGATCTGGATGTGGCCTCAAATGGGAAGTGGATGAAAATGGAGAAACTGAATCATTACTTGTGACCTTTTTCGATCCAAACAAAGGTTGCGGTGGGGTGGGGTGGATGTAAACGTTCATGAAAAAACCTGAAAATTGAAGTGAAAAGCCAGCCAAAGGGGCAGGCCAGGTAATGTCTGCGCGAGTCAATCCGCACAAGTCAGACAACTATGAATCTGGTTCGACAGGGGGAAACGAAATGTGGATCGCATGCTGCTCAATACCATGGTCCTTTGGGGGGGAAAGGAGCAATGTGTCAAACAAGTCAGAGCAAAAAAGAGTGCAGATACAGAGCAAGGAGTGTCCACCAGGAGGCACGGCTTTACTTGACTGACTATAGGCCAAGTCATCTACATACTGCTATGCAGTGATTGAACAAGTCTTCGATGTCTTTCACCAGCAACGCAAAGCAGAGTTGGAAAGCGACTTTTTCTGCCTTTCTGTTCTGACTGTCTGACATCTGCAACAATCAGCGGGTGACAGCTGCGGAACTGCTGCGCCAGGTTCTGTGGCAGAATGCCGAACTCAACTCTCACTTTCTGGCGATGGAACCACACGTACAAGTGCCTTTCATTGCTTTGAACCAACCTGCTGTTTTGTGCTGGAAGTCTTCCATGCCTTTCCGTAAAATGGTTGACCTGGCGAAGGCGGTGCTGCCATTGCTGGAGGGGAATCTGCAAAGGGGTAAGTTCCCATTGCTTCACCAAATCCTTGACAATGGGATGCGTGTTCTGTAACATGCTCTTCCGTGCTGCATTCAATCCAAACCTCCTCTGTCGTTGCAGCCACCTTCCGAGCCGAGTGTTGTGGAGAGGGAGCGCACCATGAGTTGCCAAGTGTAGTTTGAGCTCAGCACACCTTTGGGGGAAAATACCGTCACGGTCTCCGGCCAGCCACCCTTTGACTCGCTCCCGGAGGAGAATTATGGATGAATTCAACAGTCTGTTCAATCGTTGCGGTTGTAAGCTGTGATGCTTGAGCCGGGCATTCTGATTTCCCAGCCATGCGCCCAAGCTTTTTTCTTCTAAAGATCGTGCAACTTTGACTGGCAACCTGCCATTCCTAGTGCAAAACTCCTCCACGCTCTTGAAGCGAATTTCCCAGGGATCTCTCTGGAAAAGGATCGCAGAGAGCCTCCGATAAACATCACCAAAAAAGGTGTCAAATGTCATTTTGCCTTCCCTCTGCAAGCTGCAATCTGCGATTTCGATACGGTATGAAGCCGTAGTCCCGGCAAGGCGATCATCAGCTTGCACCAACATCGCTAAGAAACGTTCAACTTGACTATCATAATCCTCTTGAAGCCCAAGGATTGCAGGTTTGATTCTTATCCGACGGGGCATATCGGTGTGAGAGCCTGCTGGGTCCACAACGTGTGGCTGACAACTTTTTCGAGGATACTGGTTGCTTCTTGCATACTGATCCAAGAGCAAAGATGCGTTGAACGTCGCGGCCACGCCAAAGGAGTCAGCAGTGACCTCCCGAGCAGTGCAGTCAAAGTTAGTGTTCGGACCAAGTTGCTTGCTTGCAGCTACTAAACCCGTGCACGGCAGACTGGATCCGCTAGGCCGCTGGGTTCCAGATTCAGATTCCTGGCTTGATCGCTGCTGATTCACATGTCTCAATTCATCTCAGTTCTTCGACGTCAGCTGGAAGTCTTTGTGAAGACTATGGGAGCCTGGATTCTCAGGATGCAGCGCAAAGATCTGTCTGGATTGGGGACTTTTAGGTTCGTCACTATCCTGCACATTGCCAAAAGGAATATCGGCATGTGCCTTTTTCATCTGCAGCCCACCCCTGCTTCCTGCATGGATCTGCCTGCAGGGTTTGAGGTGGTCGCTGTGGTTTCGCACACTTTCCGTCCTTTCTGTTCGGCCCTTTGTTCTTGCCCTCGTGGCTGGTGATAAAGTAAGGCTGCTACCAAAATATTGCTCTTCTGATGTATTTGGATTCATCTCTAAATCTGATTGCAACATCTCTTGGGGTGGGCGCTCCGCATTCTCATGAAACTTTTGGTTTGGTATCGCAACGGCTGGCAAGATTACGTGTGAAAGTGTCTTGGAAGGATGATGGCGCAGCACACGCCCAATAGCTTGAACGATGCTCCTGTAGCTATTCCGAGGCTCCACAAACATGCAGGTGTCAGCATTTGGAATGTTGATCCCTTCTCCCAAAACTTCCACAGTCACAAGCACGTGAACTGGTTTCTGCAAGGCGCCTGCAAACTCTTGGATCACTGTCTCTCGTTTGTTGAATGGTGTTCTAGAATTGATGTGCCATGCAGCTAACCCCACCTCTTTTAACACCATCCGAAAGCGCTTGGCCTCTGCAACAGAGTTGCAGTAGGCAAGCACCCTCCTGAACCTGCCCAGTTGCTTCAGCAGCAAATCTGCCAAACAAACATAAGCATGGTGCTTTGACACAGCTGGCACTGTGATGTCATAGTCACAAAGGACTCCTTCTTGAATTGCCTTGCCCATGGTGTAACGGAAGTCCGGTTGCTTCTTCTGCGTGGCTGATAGCAAATATAAATCCTCACATGTCGGCAATCCCGGGGGCAATGGGTGATGCGCCTCGTCCACAAAAATGGCAGCAAACTTCAATTTCTTCAGCAACTGGACCGAATCCGTTACCGCAATGAACCCTTTCGCCTCGAAATCGATCTTCTTATTGTGCCCCGTGCCCACTTTGCAGAAACCAGGAAAGTCTGGAGCGAACTGGTCCAGCAAGGCTCGTAGAGGTACCGTGATCAAGACCTTTCTTTCAACATGGGTGGCAGGCTTCAAGGACTCCAATGGCTAAACGTCATGTTCACTACAAAACTCCCCGTTCCAAAAATAAAACTGATGCCTGTCCCAGTCACCTTTCCAGACACGTTTCCCACCAACTCCTTCATGACGCGCGTCTTGCCAGTGCCACAGGCCATCTCAATCACTCGAGCACCTTTGGCACATGCCTCCAGGCAGTCTTTTTGGCACTGCCGCAACTGCGGATCACCGTTGCTGTCTCCATCCGCAATGGGTCTGATCAACTTGGCCTGCAACCTTCCAAGAGATACATGCAAGGTAGGGCTGCTCTCAAGAGCGCAAGGCTACTACCCATGTCAGAAACAAATCTGAACTAAGCAACCAAACATAATCAACACATCACCCATTCGAAAAACAATAAGATTGTAGAAAAATGCAATCCCGCCTTTCGATCGCCCTGGGCGTGATGGCGCGAAGGCTGGCACAAGATCTCCCAAGCCATGCTCTCGACTCCTTTCCCACGTGCCGAAGGCTGCTAGTCACCAGAACACAGTTTTCAGCCTGATCAAGTTCAACGTGTGGCAATTGTGGCAGCACACAATGTAAGGATAGTTCGTGTCACAAAACACTCGCAGATTGGCTGAATATGGTGGCACACCTTAGAAATTGAAATCATGTTGTTGACACGAACGTTGCTGATTGACACGAAACTTCACTGAGCACTCAGCAACGCTATGTCCTTCACGCTCAGCAAACAAAACTGAAGACCTTTGTCATGAACGCAGCCCAATGCCCAGTGCACCTTGTAGACCCAGCGCCCTAAGCGCAGGAAGCGCTTCACCTCCCTGTGAGGCAACGAATTGTTGCAGCAGCATATTGCCAAGCGGCCGTCCAAGCTCAACAAGTCTACACCTCTCAGGTCGGTCGCGACCACCCCTGTGGGGAGGTCTCAAGTTTCCAACTAGTCTAGTTAATGCAACCTCTCCACACTTGGGATGCTGGAGCCTTGCTGGCAAATCCTATGGGATTATTCAATTCAATTGGAGGGTGCCCAATGGCAGCATTGCTAGATGTTGCAAGCACCTCCCTCCTTGCTTAGCTGCTGCCTGGATATCTTCGAGTGATGTTCTGCCTCTCGAGGAACCATGGAGGAAACTCCTGGCTTGGTCCAGACATGAGAAGTACGAGTATCAAACACGAGGGCTCTCAAGTATACTGATATATGCACATGTCTTGCCTCAACTTCCATAACCTGGACTAGACTCTGTTTTTTTGGGACAAGCCAACAACCGTCATCTCCAGTCACCTAATCGAAGTACTCAAAATCTGGTGACTGGTGGGCTCCTGCACGGGCACAGCGTTCAGCTCCAGCACAGCTGCCCACACCAACCGTTGCTTCTCTCCAAGGTGAGGCCACGTCAGCGCCTCGCGAGCCAAGTTCCGCAGGCGCTGCATGAAGGCCGCGTCGCGCTCGTTAAGGCCTGAGCTTAGAACATGATTGCATTGAAAACTGTTCAAGAACTCATTGGAAGATGTTGTTGACATTTGACATCGCATCCTAAGTTCTCAAGTGACATTTCGTACAACTGTGACTGCCAACGCCTCAAAAAAATACTTTCTGCATCTTTCTGCTTGCTTATTTCTTACTGCAGCTTGACTGCCAGAAGCCAGTTGCTCCGCCCTCGCTTTCGTGCTTGTCCAAGTCCTTACTTGCATCCTGGAAAGCAACTGCCCATGGCGTTGCTGAAGTGCTCTGCTAGGAGTGTTTCAATACAACTAGCACTGTTAGCGATCCAACATGTTTTCTCTACATTTCTCTACAGTAGGCTTCCATTGACATGTGATGTGTTTTCTCTAGGCTTCCATGCCAGCCCCACCCCATCTGTCCTTGCACCTTTCTGAAGACTTGCAAAGGACAACCCTGCTGCCAGCAAAGCATACGTGCGTAACAACACAATCACTGCGGCAACTCTTAGTGCACCTCGCGCCCTGCTTCTCATCCTCCAGGCAATGCATACGGCACCATGCTGCTCCATGAATGAGCTTCACCACTCCATTCCTAGCGAGAAGGTCTTACTGCTGATGGTAAAACCAACATCAACTTGAGCCAAAACCATTGGAAGAAGAACGCCAATCTCGTGCAACTATGGTCAGAAAAGCAGATCTACATTCCGCAGTAGGTTCCAGTGATATTCGACAGAAACTTGTTCCAGGATTGAGGCGCATGGTGTGCTTTCACTTATCTTGGCTATACTGTGCTTAAAACTTGTACAGCCTTCATTGCAGAAGTCTATCGAGTCATTGGGTTTCTGTAGTTCAATGGTGGTTCAAAGCTTCAAACTCAGGCTGCTGCCTTCGGCTGACCTCTGCGCCTTCAACCAGCAGCCTAGATGATTGGGGCGGCATAGGGAGGCCGGCAGTGCCCCACTATGACCCTGGAATGAAAAGGTTGAAAGAAAAGGCAAACCCCGGAAAAGTGAAAAAGTTGAAAGACCGGCCTCAGCTCTATGGCTGGAACAACATTGGAGAAGTTGGCAATGGGAAACAGGATGCGAAGTTCAAACTATTGCAGCCATGCTCAGGGGTAACTATTACGCAGAAATTGAGTGCTACCTGCTCTAAATCAATTCATCACTCAAGTTGATCATCATTGATTTGGCTTTTAAATTACGCCAAGGATGCAATCGCACAGGTATTTTGTTTTTGAACAAGTGCATCAACAAGCGCAGCAATCAGTGGATGGGCATTTTGAAGTTTCTGGGCCAGCTCGTTGGGCAAGGATCCTGTTTGAAGCCTTCTGCGCTCAACACGGAACCAGTTGTAGCACCTCCTCTCGGCCTTGCTTGTTGGATTGAATTTCGGCAAGCATCCTGACGCTGAGACAAAGCTGGAGAGCTCCTCCAAGCGCTGCTCCCATCGAGGCCGGTCCATTGAAAGCGGAATGTTCTGCCACCTCTTCACTTCAGCTTTGACCAAGGGATGAACCTCTTGCAACATTCTTACTTGGTAAGGGTTGAGCGAGAGCTGCCACCGTTGTTTCCGCACATTGGCAAGCCATTCTGCAAGTTTACTGGAAGCTGCGTTTGGTCCGCCTGTAGACTTTGGAAGCCGTTTGTGCAACTCTACGTAATCTCTAAGCACCTGACATTTCTCCTTGAAACGCCTGTCTGGGTCACCCGTCAGCCACCCTTCAGCACGTTTACGAATCAGAGGTGACGATGTCAGAAGCTTGTGCAGCCTGTGGCTCTGTAGTCCTTGTTTTTTCATATGGAAGCCTTGATTTCTCAACCACACCGCCAGCGACCTTGCGACTTCTTCATCCTCTGAGCAAGTCGGGAGCCTGCCATGCTTGGCGACGAAAGCCTCCAAGTCCCCCAACCGATTCGCCCAAGGGTCCGTTTCAGACAAAATCGTGCAAAGCTGGCCGTAGACCTCTCTAGTCCAATCCATCATGTTTGCCCCCATACCCGCCAAGGTGCAGTCTGCTATCTGGATCCTGTGCCAGGCAGTTGCAGAAGCCAGGCGATGATCCGCAAGCATCAGCGTGGCCAGAAAGCGTTCCAGCTGGCTGTTGTACTGCTGGTCGAAGACCAGGGATGGGCTGGATGGTTTCAAGCTGAATGATCTCCGGGCTGGCCGAGGAGTGGCACAAGTCTGACTGGTTACATGCCCAGGTGAAAGCACCTCGGGATTCGGATTTTCATGCATTGCAGATAGCAACTCCTGGGCGTCTAGGGCCAAACTTTGATGGTGCAAGGACAACTGTTCTGGATGAATGTTGGCCTGCTTGGGGGGCCTACAAGGACCAACCCCCTCTCCCCCGGACTCTTGAGCCTCAGGGAGCTTTTGTGGAGGAGTTTTATCTACCTCCAGGATTCCTTTACCGAAAGGTCCACGGTGCGGAGTGCAAAGGCAGCTAATGGGCTCACACGAAAAAGCAAAAGCAGCGGGGCAATCTTTTAGCGCTAAGCTTGACTGGTCCAGTCTGCGGTGAGTATGCGCAAGTGCAAAAGAAACATGCAACTGCTACACACCAAGCTAGTCTCTACCTACCTTTGTCTTTCACATCGGAAGGGAAACGTGTTGGTGTGTTGCGCAAATTATGGCACGGCGCAGCCGATGCCAGTGCTGGGACGCGGCCCTTCAGCTTTTCTTTGCGACGCTGTCGCTGCCCCTGGCGCAGTTTGCGCCGGTGATCCTCTAACGTTTTCTCCTCTGGAGTCTCACGTAGGGACACCATAGGCTTTCGGCAGAATGCCTGCCACAACAGGTTGACCATCTTCTTGGTTAGGCCGTCGGCGTGCTGTCGATGAGTAGGGACCCAAAACAACATATACGCTCCAGCTTCCAAGTGATGTCGTGCAACAAGCAAGTCCAGCATGGTCTGACGCTCCGTGGGGAGCTGACCTGTTGTATTCAAATGGTCATAGAGGCTCTTGGCATCAGTTACGACGCCTCCATCAAGACCCATTGACAATCGCCAATCCTCATCCAAGGGTCTGTTGCCGTAGAGCAAACGATCCAAAACCAAGCGGCCGTACAAGTGACGGTCCACACAGATGGACATGCTACAGCTTTCAGCAGACATTGAACTCCTCAGAACTCGAGAACTTTTATTGGTGGAGAATTCCACCACCGATGCCAATGCTGGTCCTGACCGTGCTTTCTCTGTTGTGAGAAAGTGAATTGACCCAAGCTGAGATTTTCCGTCTTCTTCTTTTCCAACCGAGGCATCAAAGAAGCTGATGTAGAATAGCTTCTCCTTCTCGTTCAGCTTTGGATAGGTCAATTGGGCGCGGCCCTGGGAAGCTTCCTCCACAAACTTTTGATGAAGCTTGACAGCTTCCTTGTAGTCACTGTGTTGAGCGCGGCTCACACGTTGTGCTAGGGCCGAAACCTCATACAGCAAGTGTGGCATGGCCTGTTGGGCCGGCCACCGAAGGCGCATGACGAGCTGACGATAGAGCGTCAACTCCCTTGGATTAAGTGGTCCAGAGCCACTCAAAGGTTCCACCTTGATCTGCTTGATGTACTGCGTCATGTCGTCGTGGATACCATTTGAATCCAAAGTTACGTCCACGCCCAAGAATTGAACTGGTTCTTTGGCAGATAGGGTCTTCCAGGCTTTGATCTTGAACATACCATCAATCTGCCGCTTGAGATTCTGGACACGCTTGTCCTGTAAATCACCGAGAAGCAGTCCGTCATCCACGTGGAGACATAGGATAGCATATGTGGCGCTGCCACTGCTTCCACCACCTGCAACGAAGGTAGATCGCGACATCTCGAGCTCCTGGAGATCAGTCTTTTTGATCCTGTCAAGGGCTTCCAGGTACCACAACCTGGGACTCTCTGTCAGTCCATATGCGCTCTTGAGGATGCGCAAGAGCTCTCCAGGTTCCACAGCTGACCAATTCTCAGCTGGAGGCAAACCTTCTCTGGGGGCTCGAATGTAAACCTGTCGTTGCAACTTCTTTCCGCTGAGGAAAGCTGTTGTGACATCAAAAATTGTGCCACCCCATCCACGGGCTGCTGCCACGCTCTTGGCTGCACAGACAGCTGCTTGAGGGCAGGTTGGCGAATCTGTCCGGAATTCACCAAGCTGGGGGTCTAAATGACCTGGCACAATAAGTCGGGATTTTGCCACCAACGGCAAGAGCTGATTGGTCTGTTTGTTGACCCTGAGCATACGAAGTGGTGCTCTGAAAATGGATGCTTTGGGAACTCGGGCCGCTTCCTCAGGGCTGACCCTCTCAATCACTCCGTTTTTGATCCATTCAGACCACTCCTTGACATCAGCCGTATCAAATGCTGCTCTTTCCTTCTGATCAAAGAAGGCAGGGTCCAACTCCTTGCCACCCTGCTTCATCTTCAATAGCAGCGCTTCAGTGGTGAGCAAATCTCGAACTTCTTCCGTCCACAAAGCTTCGAAATCTTGGGCGGCTTGGGCAGTCAGATCCGCACGGTACAATCCATCTGGAAGCTGGATGTATACCGGCTCGGTGTCGGTCTCCTTGGCAGTCTTGTAGAAAATCGTCATGCCTTTCCAAAGAAAGCTGGCACGACGGCGAGGGTTCTGCTTCACGTCCTCCTCGTCCTCGTTGACAATGAAGGTGTTGGCAGGATCTTTGCCAATTAAAATGGAAAGTCGTGAGCGACTAACCATCTTTGGAGGCTTTTGGAAACGCTTCCTGGGTGTCCGGTGGATTCTGGCCGCCGTAACTGGCAAGCCTGTCAGTTGCTTAAGAAGTTCCACCTCGTATCTCGACACCCATTCATTTTGAAGGCTCACATACACTGTGGTCGCTGCCACCTGTGCGCAGAAGTTCGCACGCAGCTTCTTGACGGCAGCATCCGCCCGAGCAGGGTCCATAAGCTGCTGTTTCCTCTTGAGGGTGTGAGGAACGTCGTCAAGAGACATCTTGCGTCGATCTTCCTCGGACAGTTTCCTGAACTCCTCTAACCATTCGTCCTCATTGTCCGGCGGGACAGGTACCTCATGCGGTGGTACCTCCGTTGGAGGCTCTGCCTCAGCTCTGGATGGCTCATCCAGTCCTTCATCATCTGTAGGAATGTGAGGTGGCTCCTCATCGGTTGACATGTGGGGAGGCCCTTCATGCTCATCATAAGGTGATGTGGCGCTGTAGCCATCAGACTCTTCGCCTCCTCCAGGTCCTGGTAGTGCCGGTGGTTGAGGTAGTTCAGGGATCTCCTCTGGGGGCACTTGTCCATCTTCTAAGGCCTTTGGCCTTTTTGCAGGGCGCGGCGCTGCCGGCTTGTCCTCAATACCTTTGGGCACCTTTCTCTTCCTGAGCTGTGCTCGAAGATCAGCGTAGCGATCCTTCAGGAGCTGTCGAATTGACTTGGTGCCTCTTAACATCGTCCTTGCTCTTTTCCTCTCTGGCGTATCCGCGGTCGCTGGACGTTTTCTCGTCCTCGGCGGAGGTGCCAGTCGTGATTGGTCCTTGTAGGTCTTCTCCCGGATGGGGTCCTGAAGTAGTTCACCCAAACTGTCGGCATCTTCCTTGGCTGGCTCGTTGAGAGCTAACTCTTCACGAGTAGCCAGTCGGATGTTGGGCGCAGCCAACAGGAGGGCGCGGCCTCGCCAGCTGACAAAGTATCTCTCCTTGGCCTCACGCACAAGGATTGTAGCAGGTCCACGCCACTGGCCACCTCGGGTATACCTTTTTGAAAGTTTCTTTGGTGTCCAGAAGTAAATCTGTGCTCCCGGCATGAATGGGCCATCATTTTCATGCACTGGCTTCCTCAGAATCGCACGGCGCATCTTGTCTTGGACGTCCGTACGGATCAAAGCCAGCCTGGCCGTGATGCGCATTCTGTGAGCGCGTGCATACTCTGATTCAGAGTCCAATGCTTCTGCAAAGCTTGGCCTGGCGTTGTCTTCTGTCAAACTGGGGAATTTGATTTCAGCTCCAAACAATCGTTGATTGGGAGTGAATCCGTCCCGAGTCACTGTCATATTCTTGGCTGCGACAGCGGATGACACCACCAGTTTCATGGCTGTAAATCCTTCAGTGGAGTGTTCTGCAGTGATAGCTGAGATCATGGTGCCCAAGATAGCTCCATGTCTTTCTCCCACCGAAAGCTGCCAAGGTGCATGTGATCCTGTCACCGTAGTTGGCACCGCCATGTCCTCCAAAAGCGAGGTGAAGGCCAGCTCAAACTCGCCACCTTGATCGTGGCTAACATGCTCTGGAGCTCCAAAGATCTGGATCCAATGGATCATGAACTTGCGCGCCACATAGTCGGACCTCCTTGTCTTGCAAAGACAGGCGCCATGGTACGCAGTACCAAGATCCACAATGCTCAAACAAGGATATTTGCGATCCCGTGAGTCGAACACAAACTTGATGTCCAAGTGAAGCTTCCGATTGAAGCCATAGGGTCTCAAGCTTGGCGTTGTAGCAAGAGGATGTGCTGGTGCCTTCTGCATTCGGCACACATCGCACTGCCATCGTCTAGCGTGACGGATGGCATCCTCTGTCGCTCCTGAGATGCGCAGCATCCGGACCAAAGTATCTCTGCTGGGATGTCCAAGTTGCCGATGGGCAAATTCAACTGCCTTTTGAATCTCTTTTGGCACAGGGCGTCGATCATCTTCCTCGATCACCTCTTCCTCTCGCCTTTTCTCCTGTGCCATTCGTTGCTCTTCTTCTTCAATTCCTTCTTGCCCATCCTGAAAAGATTCTTCGGTGACGTACTCCTCCAGGACGTAGGTCTCTTTCCCGGCAGCTGCCGGCCGATGCAGGAAGCTCAAGGCTCCCCTCATGATGGCTTTGCACAAGGGGATCGGATATCCTCCAGCCCAGGATGACAGAGATATAGTCCCGTACTCCTCCGTCCGGACTGAACCTTAAATGGGGAAATGTTGGTGATCCCCAGGGCATCTTTTCCTGAGCTCAGCCACGATCTCCTCTTGGCCCACAAAGCGGGTTGGTTTCTTCAGAGGCATGCCGCATTCGGGATGGCGGAGGCCATACTGACACTGGTCGCATACCCCTTCAGGCAGATCACCAAAGCCATCAATGATATCATCTTGCTTCCATGCCAGGCTCAGCAGGGGATTCTCACCCAGGATGGCGCGGCCATTCCATTGTCTCTTCAAAGAGACTTGTGCAGAAAACTTCAGCAACTTCTTCGAGGTGTTCTGTTTGTGTTTGAGGGCCTCTCGCTGGGTCCAAGTCTTTTGATTAAGTCGCTGCAGAGGCGACCACGGTCCACACGGCCATGCCAGCATGATGAAGTCAGGGTCGACTCGATCAATGTACTGGTGGGCCTCCCATTGCACCTTGGGGTCTGTCAGATCCCAGCCTGGAAGGGTCACTGGTTCAAGATACTCCCAGCCCAGGCCGTAGGCAAACCTTGACAGCATGCAGGACCACGTAAAGATCTCCAAGATCTTGAAGCCAGTACGCAGCCGGCGCACTCTTGGAACCTCCTTCTCCTTCTTGAAACTGGTGCGCTCCACCTCCACAGCTTCACTGATGTTCTTGGCGGCGGCCAAAAGTCTTCGCTTCTGCCCTTTTCCAAGGTACTCAGTGTCGCCGGCGCTGCCAGCTATCATCACTTCATCAACCATGCCATCTTCCGATTCCGTGGATTCTTCATCAGAACTGTTGAAACCCATCGGAAGTCCACCTTCGTGAGAAGTCTCACTTTCGCGTTCGCTGATGGAACCCGTGGAACTGTCATCCGGTTCCTTGGTTGTGGCTCGAAAGCAGTCCACACCCAGCACATCCAGCAGGTTGATGGTCTCTGACTCGGATTTCTTCTGCCAGCGGGCCATCGTCTCGAATTGGGGTCCCGTCCAATGGACGGCTTCTTTCGTAGTTGGGTCTGGCTCTGCGGCGCTGCCGTCATCAGAGCTCAGATCATCCAATGCCTCCTGCAAGAGGGCAAAGGAATGCGGGTCGTTTGTGAGGCGCAGCCTCAGCTCCTTGAGCTCCCCGGTCTCCCATGCTGTTGGATCAGGCTTCTTGCCGACGTTGAGCAGATTGAGGATTGGATGCCTTGAAGGCGACAAAACTGTGGGTTGCCATTTGCCATGAATTGCAACCTGCAACTTGGCGAAGTCAATCTGCACCTTCCAACGGGCAAGTTCAGCAGGTCCCACAAGTCCAGGACACTCTGCCACACGGCCATCATCCGGTGTGTTGTCAACCACTGCGATGCGCACCCAAGACTTGTGATCATAGATCTGCACTGCATAGAGGAACGCCTCAGTGCTGAGCACCGGTGCACCTGCTCCAAAGCGATAGACCTCCTCGTGGTTGGTCTTGTAGAACGGAAGGCCTTTCTGGCGCATCAAAGACTGCAGGGTCATGTGCCACTTGCGTCCAGCCACTGCTGTTCTGCACCCAGTGTCAAGAATGACATGTCCAGGGGACAGCACATTGGCCTGGTAGGCCTCATGTTCATGGTCATGGGCATGGATGCACTGGTTGGACGTCATTGCACCATGCATAGCTGAGTAGTACAAGACTTTTCTCAGCTTGCAATCCTTGCAGCTTGCCCAATGGGCATGGATATTTGCACCCCAGAGCAAACGCTCATATGGATGCTCGCAGTTCTCCTGGGCAGCGTTGGGAAGATCTGAGGCTTCTGACGGTACGATCTTCCCTTTTCGGTTCTTGGCCGCCTCGTAGAGCTGTCTGCGAAACTTCTCCATGCGCTTCTTCTTGACTCCCACCGGTACCTTCTCCTCTTGATCCGGTGGCTCCTCAACCTCATCCTTCCTCAGGCTGCGGCCCGCAGAGGCCATGGGTACGGACGCAGCCGAGTACCCGTCTCGGCGGCGATCTGGCCTCTTGAGCTTTGCTGCTGAGGTGGGCGGCTGCCCCGTTCCAAAGAGCTTGAGGGCTTCATCTTCTCGTTCCTTCTTGAGTTGCTTATAGAGCAATTTCTTCTCCTCCTTGGACATATTTGGTAAGATCTGCAGCAGATCCTGGGTGGACAAACACATTTCCTCGTCCAACTTGGGATCTCGGGTTTCATGTTTGGGCCTTGTTTTGGCCGGAGCTTCCGAGCCCGAGGCTTGAGATCGCACGGCCCGTGCTGAGATCTTGTCTCGAAGGCGATCTTGTTTCCGTTGAAGTCGTCTCTTGACCTCATCGTCTTGCTCCTCTTCAGCCAAAGATCTCAAGACCGTCATCAGCTTGACCTTAAGCTTCTCCCTAGCGGCTGACTTGGGGGCTGGGGAGTTTTGCAACTGGTACTTGCGGACCAAATCGTCCTCTTCACTTTCGGTTGCCAACTGGTGAGATGAGATCGTGTCGGAACTGTCAGAATCATAGTCCTTGATCACGTCCCAGCCACCAACCATGTATGTCCAGTTGCACTGGCGTGCTGCAGTGCCAGTTGAAGGCTGTGCCACAAAGGCCTCTTCTGTCCCTTCACGAGGCGTGTCAGCAGGTGTCTCTGCACCTTCCTCCCGTGACTTTCGCTCACGGGTGCGATCTCTGTCAGACCTGTGCTCACCTGAGGACCTTCTCGGTCTGTCTGATCGATGTGAGCGTCTTCTCCTCTTCTTGGCCTTCTCCTCCGGAGACGCCTTGGGTTCTCTCTCAGGTTCCTTTCTGCTAGGAGATCGACCGACTTCTTCTTTGACTCGAGGTGGCACTGCTGGCTCTGGTGGTCTTTCATGCCCCCTTGGGGTTGATGGTGGCTCCACATAGGTCTCCATCGGTGACTTGTCTACCGCTCCTCGTCGAGGAGGATTTGGTGGAGGTGCCATCGGGGGATGTTTGGGCGTAGCGCCCGTTACATCGCCAGCTTGGTCTCTTGCTTGGCTCTCTGAGCTCTTCCTCCGCGGCAGCGGTGCTCGCTCCGGTTCTCTGGCCGGAGAGGGGGCGCGGTCCCGCTTGGGTTGGAAGGCGCTGCCCTTCCCAGCACCCGATGCTGTTGTATAATGGGTTGCACTTTCCTTCCGATGTGGAGCGTCCTTGCCTGACTTCACATTGGGGCAGATTGCATCGCCTCTCCAATGTCCCTTTTGGCCACATGAGGCGCACGTGCTGTTGCGTTTCCGATCGTCAGGCCGGCGACTGTCTTGTCGCTTCACTTTTCCTTTCCCTTTTGGGGATTTGCCACTGTCACGGTAGCCACGGCTCTGCCGGGCTTGGGCCGTCTGGTTCTTGGCCCTCCAACCAGCAGCGAATGCCTCTTGCAAGGCAGCCTGGTCCACGGCCTCGACGCTTTCCTCATACTCGGCCTCTTCGTCATGGCTCCACTCCTCTTCTTCGGGCATCTCCTCCTCTGCCATCAGTGCTTCTTGCTCCAGGTCCTCGTCATCCGTGTTGTCTCCATAGTGCTCTTCATAGTCCCCTTCAAGGTCTTCTTCATCGGCCACATGAGCATGGCGAGTGGCACGATACGGGGCTCGACGATCGGACCTTTTGTAGGTTCTCCTCTTCGGCGGCGGCCGAGCAACCTGTTGATAGCCACGTTCCTCTTGGCGGCGGCCGCCGCTTGGTCTTTCCTCAAGGTGCACGTTCGCGCACCGGAACCTGAGGACTTTCTCCAAGGGACCTGAACGGTAAGAACCGCCGGCTGCAAAAAAGCAGTCGTACCGTTCGCGCCGTGTCAAGGAAGCACGGGTCAGCATTCTTTGGGCAAATGCACGGTCGCTGATTACTGACCCCGGGTCTTCACGCAAGTACTCATTTCGGAGTCTCTTCAGGGTCGCTAAGTAAGCAGCGATGCTTTGTCCGGGAGAGCGGCGGAAACTCAGGAAAGCATTTTGTCTTTCCTCGAATCTCTCATCTGCTTTGCTCCCATACGCATCCTCTAAGAGACGTAGGATGCGTTGAAGGCCGCCCTCCTCTTGCATGTCCGCTATCTCCAGTTGGTTGAGAACCTCTCTTGCCTCCCCGGTGCAGGACAGGAACAGCAAGACCGCCAGCTCCTTGTCTTGGATCTGGTAGAGCTGCTTCTGAGCTTGGATCGTCTTCATCCAGTTCCTGTATTGAGACCTGTCACCTGGGAAGGTCTCCAGCCGGACTTGTCCAAGGTTAGCACGAGCTCGTCCTTCAGGCTGGTCGGTACGCTCCTTGAGCAGCTGTCGTACCGACTCTGTTCTGACGGACGATGTCCTGTGGCTGGAAGAGGCTTGCGATCCTCTGGATGGCATCGAAGGTGGGCCGCCGCCACCTGGAGGTCTCCGCCTCCGTGGGCCGCTGCCCGTGTGATGCGTGTCACGCTCCGCAGGTCGCCGCCCAGGTCGCGGACCTTCTCGGGGCTCGCCTCCTGTGCCTGAGCGAGGCGTCACTCCGGTCGCTGACCGCGGCGTCACATCGACCGATTGGTCTGGTTCATGCTCCTCCTCTTCCTCGCTCTCTTCTTCATAAGTGTACTCCGTGTCATCCTCCGGATCTGGCTCATCACCCTCATCGTCACCTCCCCAATCGGGGACATCTTCTGGTGGGCCTTTGTCCGGCTTCTTCTTCTTCTCTCCGCGGTCACCCTTATCCTTCTCTTTGGAGGATTTGTCCTTCTTGTCTCCTTTCGTAGTTTTCTCCTCCTTGGTTTCTGTCTTCACTCGAGTTCTCGTTGCATTCTGCTTGACTCCTTTCAAGTCTAACTCCTTCGGATTGACCGCCGTTTGTTGACTGGGCGTTTGCTGGCTCGGCATAGTCCAGGAAGAGAACGGCGTTGACCACTGTTGGGAAGCCATCATGGGATTGTAGCCCACCGGCCACCATTGCTTCCCGTCGGTGTACCAAGGCTGTCCATTGGGGCCATAGTGCAACTGGAATCCAGGCATTGTCATCCCAACCGGATAGCCTCTCTCAGCGGCCTTGGTGTTCTTCGCGGCGCCTACAGGCTCCGAGCATATAGAACCAGGTCCTCGGCCATGCGGTAGTGCATCGGCACCCATCTTCGCAGCAGGGCTGGTGGAGAGCTTCTCCTTCCCTCGAGGCTCGGCCTCACTCTTGGGCGCTGCCCTTCGCGCGGTCGCTGACCGCTTCGGCTCCGCCGATGCCATTGGTCGCTGGGGCTTCGAAAGCATCACCCAGCTCCGCTACCAATGCGGAGTGCAAAGGCAGCTAATGGGCTCACACGAAAAAGCAAAAGCAGCGGGGCAATCTTTTAGCGCTAAGCTTGACTGGTCCAGTCTGCGGTGAGTATGCGCAAGTGCAAAAGAAACATGCAACTGCTACACACCAAGCTAGTCTCTACCTACCTTTGTCTTTCACACACGGATGGATGGTTCATCATGTGACATGTGCCTGTTCTGAAAATCGGCTCCAGCATCGCCGATGTGTTTACCATCTAGATCCATGTGAGCTGTCGGATTGACCTGGCTCTTGGCATGCGAAGAGCCTCTCAAATTGGTAAGTCCAGAATTGCTTGCATTTTGAAAAACGATTGTTGGATGCTCTTGCTGCTTTCTACGCTGACCACTCTTCTGCTGGCCATCTGCACGACCTGTTGAGCCAGCTCCCCTTCCCTGCCTCTTGGCAAACACACCAAGTTTGGCAGCCAAATCAATCTCACCCAGTGAACTAAGTCTGGGTCCCACCTCGGGAATGCTTGAAGTGCTGCCTTGATGCATTTCAACCTCAATATTGAGAAAGCCACTTCTCCTACCAGTCCGACGCAGTACTTCTGTTTGACGGTCCCAATTGCTCGCGAGGCTTTGATCCTTTGAGTGGGCCGTTTTCTGGCTGAATTGTTCAGCATCCGGGTTGTAAAACTTGGTTTCCTGATCACTACTAGCCAAAAAGTCAGGTTTCGAAATCGCAACATGCGTGGCCTGCGTGGCCCCCTTAAATGTTGGTTGGTCCGGCGGCTGCTGAAACTTTGTCGTATCGGTGCCTCCAGCGGGTGACAGCGGGACTAGAGTTGAGCTTGGCATTGCCACAGCTGGCAGGACGATGTGCGCCAAAGTCTTGGCAGGGTGGTGGCGCAATACCCGTCCTATGGCTTGAATGATGCTTCTGTAGCTATTCCGTGGCTCCACAAACATGCACGTATCAGCGTTTGGAATGTTGATCCCTTCTCCCAAGACTTCCACTGTGACTAATATATGAACCGGTTTCTGCAGGGCTGCCGCAAACTCTTGAAGGACAGCTGTCCGTTTCTTTGAGGTTGTCCTGGAATTGATGTGCCAAGCAGCCAACCCCAGTTCTTGCAACACCCTGCGAAAGCGTTTCGCTTCAGCTACTGAATTGCAATATGCCAACACCCGCCTGAAGACCCCAGCTTTTTTCAGAAGCAAATCGGCCAGGCACACATATGCATGGTGAGCTGTGAGGGCAGGCACCGTGATATCGTAATCGCACAAGACCCCATCTTCGATCGCCTCTCCCATGGTGTATCGGAAATCCGGCTCGTCCTTGTGGGTCGCAGAAAATCGATACAACTCTTTTGACCATGGCAGCTCGGGCGGCAATGGATGGTGCGCCTCATCTACAAAACTTGAGTCAAACCGGATGTGTTGCAGCAGGCCGACCGAATCTCTCACAGCTATGAACCCCTTGGCATCGAAGTCGATCTTCTTGTTGTGGCCCGTGCCCACTTTGCAGAAACCAGGGAAGTCTGGAGCAAACTGGTCCAAAAGGGCAAGCAATGGCACAGTGATCAACACCTAAGAAGAACAATTTGTTCAATTTCTTCCACCACGAACAGATTGGACATTTCATTGCGGTGCTGCCCGTCAAAACTATGATTTAACGTAATGATCGCCAGACACGCTAGACAAGCTAGACAAATGCAACATGAAATCTCAAGAGAACAAATAGTGGATAATGGCGAATCAAGAACCCAAGTCTCCCTTCCAGAGACGTTGGACGCCAGTTCTTTGATCACTCGTGTCTTCCCAGTGCCGCAGGCCATCTCGATGATTCGAGCACCCTTGGCGCATGCGTCCAGGCAGTCACATTGACATGGTCTGAGCGGCTGCATGCCATTTTCAGCCACAAGAGAAGGAGCTGCGTCACTTAGCCTGACAGCAGTGGGTTGAAAGGGGGAACATGCTTGGAGGACAAAGACACCTGCGAGGGGCCGCGATCAGTTCGGCCTTACTTTAGTTACTTTAGTTCTGAATGGCCACGACATCAGTAACAAAACAAAACCAGAACGCCCAGCCAAAGTTCAACAATGAAGGCGGAATGGACTTTGTGGCGCTATCCAACCCTGAACCAGGGGAGGCACTTCATAATGATCGGCATCAAACTCCGTGCAATTGTCAATCCCAATCCCAGCCTCCTCATCGTGCGGTTTGAGATGATGCGTTGCTCGGCATTGCATTTTTGCAGCCAGGCTTTGATCTTCTTGGGCAATCGGCAGCTGTTGATGACGACGGTGCACTCCTTGGCCTTTCAGTGCCGGCTGGGGCTGCATAGTAACGCTATATCTGAATAGTACCACCTATGACGACAGAAAATGAATGAGCGTAGGGGATAATTAATTATATAACACTCTGCATTTTAGAATCTTAGAACTAGACTTAGAGGCTGCTGTGATGAAAGAACTGGATGAATTGAAAAACTTTCTGCGAAGTTTTCATCTGGAATTTCCTCACTTCAGCTTAGCATCACAGCCGTCCCAATCCACTCATGTCACGTCGCGCTGGCCTTGTAGACCCACCGCGCCATGCGCAGGAAGCGCCTCACCTCCTTGAAGGAAACCGACGCGTTCCAGCAGCAGACAGCATGGGAACCATCCAAAGTCAGCAAGTCCAGGCCTGGTGGGAAAGTGTCAGTTCTGAAACGTGTAGCACATTCAAGCCAAGAAAAGGCATCGGAAACATGCCACACTGCAGGCTACACGGCTACACTTTGCAAACAACTCATCAGCCATGCTGCAATAGCCTGGACGTCGATGGGTGATGTTCTTGCGCTCCCAGAACCAAGGAGGTAGCTCCTATTCCATCACAGCACCAAAAATGGACAAACTACAAACTGAAGCAAATTGCATTCCCGTTGGTCCACTCCAACTTTCACCCACAACCCACCACCACACAAAACCACCACGACCCAGCTCCTGCACGGGCACAACGTTCAGCTCCAGTGCAGACGCCCACACCAACCGTTGCTTCTCCCCCAGGTGTGGCCATGTCAGCGCCTCGTGAGCCAAGTTCCGCAGGCGCTGCATAAAGGCAGCATTGCGCTCGTCAAGGCCTCGGCTTGAGGAGAAAATTACTTGTTTGAAAGCTAAATGGAGCACAAATCAAAATCATAAATAGGATTGAATAACCATAGTCTAGTATGCATTTGTGGATGACCAAATGGCATCATACACCTCAGGACTCTTTACGAAAGTGACCTGACTGACATGACACGCCATCCATCTTTCACCCAGATTGATCACAAAAGGATGCCTGAGAGCTTGGGCCACCCTTTCTCAAAACTCCACTATGTTGAAAGTTATCAGGTCTCCCTTTACTGCTGGACCCATGCTGCTATCAAAATTATAGTTCGGCATGCTCCAAGTGCTGCCCTGGTTCCGGCCACGTGCTTCTCCCTGGCCCTCCGGCCCAAAGTCCAAGCTCTCAGCTGGATCCTGGCACAGGCTTAGTCATCAGTGTGACAAATGTCTTGATGGCACTTCCCCATCCACCCCTGTCATCCCTGATCAACCTGTCCTTCTCGCAAATCTTGGCGAGCTGATGAATGAAATGGCTTGATGAAGCACAGCGCAGGCACAGGCATAGAGTAGGCTAAGTAGTGCCAGAAGACAGGCTGGGCGTCTTCCACTTTTTCTCATATTCGACCGACCACACGAGTTCAACCCAATTCCTATCGAAGAGACACAGTGGATGATGAGTCCTCGCAAGCTTTGAGCCAAGACCCTGGAGAAGGAACTCAATGTTGCACAAAAAGGGTTCCATCTCACAGAGTGGATGTTCATTGAATGCTGCAATTTCAACTTGTGACATCGTCTCCATGACCTACTACAGTACAATGGCCTCCTGGATAGGAACACAAATGAAGCTGCCACTAGCCAACATATGAATCAAGAAAATGTTTCTTTTCGTTTTGAGTTCACTATTATATATTGGAATTGCACTAATTCAAAACTTGTGAGTGGGTTTCACTGATCACTACCCTTTTTTTACTGGGTGGCCCAATGGTGCGGCATATCCATATCACTACTTATCAGGATGGAAAGCTTGTGCGGGATCCACCCAACCATCTCTACCTCTGCAAGTTCACAGCTGAGGCTCTGACATCGGGTTTGTCACTCCACCTCCAACTGGTGGCCTCAGAGGGTGAAACAATTGAGACCAACTTTTGTGGCAAGTGCACTTCAGTTGCGCTCCCTATCACATCTTGATAGACAGTGCCTAGGACAAGTACAAAAACAACGATGACTTTGGAAAGATTGGGGTGGTGGTCTCAAACATCCAAAACGTTGTGCGCAGCACCTGCACTGGTCACTGGGGTCTCTATTTGGGCAGTCTAAGGGTTTTGTGTGGAATATGATGGAACCACCTGGCACCGCTGAACTCTTTTGTCTTATCGGCGGAGTTTACCTGATGCTCTGACCTGCAAGCTGCACACCCAAAAGGGAACAAAAGTAGTGCTCCAAGCGGCCGACATGTCCCTCCCTTCCTGTTTCATAGCTGCTAGCCTGTGCTATTCGTGCTGCAAAGCAGCGTGTGCTGATCCTGCAGCATATCAGCATATCTTCGTCCACACAGAGCTCCCATTCTCTAAGCAAACGATGCAGTACTCAGTGGGTGAGCATTCCGAAGCTGCTCAGATCTGCTCAGTCATTTCGTCTGGCACGTATCCCGCCTGCACTGAAACTGAAGCCAGTAATAGAAACCTCTTGCAACCTTCCTTTGTCTTCTGGCAGGCGCGTGTTGCCAATGCAAGCCCGGAGAGCTGACCAAACTTCCGGCACCCCCAGCAGTGACGTTCCCCGCCTGCACCGATTTACCAGTTTCCAAATGCAGAGTTAACTGGTAGGGCTCGCAAGAATGGCACAGAATGGCGCAAAAGCTTCGTACTGAGAAGAGGTCATCCTCATCACTCG